GTTTTCAATTTGTTTTTTTTTTTTTAAAGCCTTGGCTCCCACATCATTCTCCCATTCTTGAAGAAAACTCATCCTCGAGTTTTATTTAGCCTTCCTCGATCTTTGGGATGGCCTTGCAAATTCTTCCACAACAACCACAATTGTAAAATGAAGTTAATGACAGGGAGCCTTCCATGCATTAGATGGTAAGCTATTACTGCTATTTGTCTTTTGCATGCTACAAGGATCTTTCAAAGTACTCCAAGCATAATGCTCTGATACCAATTGATGCAGTTCACGTAGAAGCTGCAGACAATAGGAAGGGAAAAACAATACACAAGCTAATAAAAGAGAAGTTATAGTAAGCTAACTCAATAGAGATAAAATTATACTCCAACTTCATTCACAAAATGATTATTGGCTTCGTCTTCATCAACGTACTCTGATGTGGTAGAAACTAACACACAAATTAAACCCTATAAATTATGCAATCGTAGTATGAGAAAGTAAGGATCGTTCTATTCCGAGGATTAGAAAGGCCGCTAATCAACACAAATTAAACTTATTAAAATGAAAACTAAGTTAAAATAACAACAAAACAGTGACTGGGGGGATTTTGGACGAATTTAATTAAAAGAAAAGTAGAGGGTTGCAAGTAAATTAAGTTGTGAATAAAATTTGGATGAAGGGATAGCTAAAGGATTCTTCTCCACACATGAATAATATGCATACAAATCAATTTCTAGTTATTCTTCTTATAAACCATGAATGACAATGCCCCAAATTAATTGTGAACAACACTATTAACTCTAAGATTTTCCTAAGTTCATTGAATTGGACTCAGCGACGCAACCAAATTATTCTTCTCAAGTTCCCTAACTATGAAAAGTGATGTGAAAATTAACTTGACACACAAATTAAACCCTATTTGTGACATTAGTAGTATATATGTAAGTAGGGATCGTTCTAGACCAGGGATTAACTAGGGATGCTAATCAACACAAATAAGACTCAAAAACACTAAACTAGACTCTATAGACTCAAAACTAACTTAAAACATTCAAAACAACAACAAACAGTAAAAAAAACTCAATTTTAGACCTAACAAGTGATTTTGACGAAAATAAAACTTAACTTGACTCTAAAGACTAAAAGAAAACAGGTTTTGACTTAAATAACAAGACTAAATGAAAGTGGGATTGTTTTTGATGAAATTAAAACTTAAAACAGAAACTTTGTATAAAACACTTTGTAAAAACGAGTTTGGGTGAATTAAATGGGTGAAAGGCTAATTAAAGGGTCCTTCTCCACACATGATATATGCATACAAACCAATTTCTAGTTATTATTCCTTTAGACTATGAATGACAACGCCCCAAGTTAGTTGCATCGCACAACTAACCATCTGATTTTCCTTATTCCATTGAATTGAATGAAGACGCATTACAACCAAATTATCTTTCTCAAGTTCTTTATATGAAACGCATAATAAAGATACATATCAAAAGTCTTCAAGTTTTGTGAAAATCATAAGCATTGACAAGGAATTCTTCACTATAAAACGCATGAGACTCATACCAAGGATTTACTTAACACGATTGTGACTAGCAACCTCCACTACTTGTGAATATAAGTGAATAACTATTACGTGAAACCCCCTTATACTCTAGCATCAAATTCATGCATGCAAATTAAGTGTCGACCCTCAACCAACACACATAAACAAGTTTTAATAACTTAGACAAGCAAATCACATTCAAGGCTTAAGAAACAATAACTGGGTGTAATCAATTCATATAAAAGATATAATCATGGCTTCGAATTCACCTCTAACTAAAAAGCAATTAGTTCCACATGTTCATCATAATTGAAAACCAAATTGATATAAACATTAAACTAAAACTAAGGATAGAAAGAACCAAGAAACGCTCCGCACTCCAATGGTATGCACGGCACTCCCTTGGATGGCAGATTGCACAAGTCCTCTTCTCCTTCCTTCCTTGCTTACGGCACTAGGGTGATATGGTGTGAATTGTGGTGTTTGATGGTTGAAAGTTTGAATGAATGAATGAGTGAATGGATGGTTTGAATGGTGTGGCAAAAACTTGAATATATAGACTAGGTTTTGCACAATTTCTGAAGGAAAAGGATTGCACAATCCAATGGGAAAAGGGTTAAGGCTTGGTAGAAACCAAAAAGGAATGGGATAGGGGATACACGGCAAGGTTTTTGGGGTTTCTAGAAGGATAGGTGCGGCACATTTGTAGGAGGAAGATAAGGCTTCTAGAAAGGATGTTTTAGGGCAGATTTCAGGACCTAAATGGACAAGGACTCACGACATAGGTATAGAAGAGGGATTACAACTCCTAACCCTCCAAGGAATGGCCTACATGCGGCACACAAAGGGATTAGGCTTCTAGAATCTGAATTATGTGTTTAAATGTATAACTAATCCCTTCAAAATAGCTAGAATTAAGGCACAACCTGATTTGGATAGGATAAGATAGGATAATGCTAGATTTAGGAAAGGATAAGGTTGGTTAGGATAGGATAAGAAAAGGTTGGATAATGTTCCTTATTTCTTGCACTTTCCTTATCTTCTTTGTATTTGAACTTCTTTCTCCAGATTTGTAGCATTTCCTAGCCTCTCTTGACTTCAATTTCGTCCATCAACTTTGCTCCATAGTTAAGCCATTCGATCCATGCTCAAAACTGCTCCAAATGCTCCAAAATGCACTTTCTTCCTCCTTTTGTCATTAGGACCTAAAAACATACGAAAATAGCTTAAAAGACTATAATAAGTAGTAATTAACTAACTAAATGCAAGGAAACAACATAGCTAAGTAGCATAAATATGCTCCTATCAAATTCCCCCACACTTAGCTTTTGCTAGTCCTCGAGCAAAACGAAATAAACAAAACAAGACACAATCTAAACCTTCCAACAATTGCCTCAGGGATTTCCAATGCAACATGACATATTAAAGATCACCACTCACGTAGATTTTAGTTATCCGTACCCTCGAGCACATACTTAATCATAGTTACCACTCACTAGCTCTCATTTAATCAATTAAAACATGATTTTGAATGTAGTAACATGCCTTAGAGAATCCCTCAACTCCTTACTGGATACACTTTATTTTCACATAGATTTTTTTACTACACTCCCTACACTAGGTATATGTGAGAAGATTGATGTAAACATGTAGATTAGCACTCACATATGTATAATCAAAGAAGGCACTTTCTGGAATTATTAACATGTATATGATATGATCTCTTGAATGGAATGCCACTACTTAGGTGCGAGAATCAGGGATACCATATGCTCAAACCAATTTTAAACTCCACATATTGAAACACATAACAATCAAGATAGAAGTATAAGGGTTGTAACGGGGCTAAGGTATTGGCTAACAAAGAAAGGTAAGGATTAACAAAAGTTCTTAAAGCAATAGTAAGCAAAGTAATGAAATTAACACTTAGAATTCACTTTTGATGCAGAAATCAACTTTGAACACCAAGGAAAGATTCACACAAAACTTAGGGCCATATTCAAACTTTTGGACCCTTTCTTCAACACTCAACACTTGTGAGTTCATTCTCACTTATTTTCAACTCCTTTTCTTTCTTTTCTTCAACTTTTTCTTCTTTTTCACATTTTTTTTCCCTTGCCCTAATCTTTTTCTTTGGCACATCAAACATACAACTTCATGGATTCCCATCGAAAATCCCTTCCCCACACTTGCTTTTCTGCAATTTTTAGATCAAAAGGAATCCCCTCTAAGTCATGCTTTACTATCCTTTAAGAATAAGGGTATGGATAGTCCTATTCTAGGCTAGGTAAGGATAATGTGGTTAACAAAGAAAATAGGCTAAATAAGGCTCAAAGGGTCTAAACCTACAATACATATGCAAGGGGTAAGGCTTTTTGGCTCTGGTTTAACTAAACAACTTCATCTTGTTATTTGCTATGCTAATCAATTTTATGCTTTGAATGAAATGGGCATGAGTTCTAGTATTTGGAATTATAGTGATAAAATGCATTCTAAGTAGCAACCAAGTAAAGAATAATGAGATCATGCGACGACTTTAGAAAACAAGAAATCAAGATTAATAACTCTCCAAAGAATGTTTAGGCTTAAGTCTCTCAGGGTTGTAGCGTTAGTTTGAGTTTCTTTCTTCAAGCATGTTACAAAAACTGATTTTTTTTCTTCCTTGTGATTACATGTGAATTCGTAAATGTCAACTACAACTAAGCATAAACCAAAGAGCATATCAAACTTCCATCCATGTTTGTAACTTTCTTTAATAGTCATGTAATTAAAAACCAAATCCTCATCATTGTGTTGGAAGGTATCCTAAGGCACAAACAAACATAAAAACAAAAACGACTCTAAAAACAACTCTTTTTGGGTTTTAAAACACTCTTTTTCGATTTTTTTTTTCAAATTTTCGGATTTTTTGCTTAAGACACATAAAAACACTTCAAAACACACTAAAAATACTTAAAAACAGTGAATAACAATTTTAGAAGTGATAGCTGATAAAATCCCTCGAAAATCATGCAAAAATAGCTTGTTTACCCCCCTTCCCCCCCTGGAAAAGAAAGCAAAAGTGATTCCCGTAGTAGCGGCGAGCGAAATGGGATAATATAGTTGTGGCTCAAGAGATTCCGAAAAAATTTAGGGCTTATACCCAAAAAGTATGACACACACTAGATGTAATGGGACGGACGGGATGAAGCCAATAAAGAAAAGACTATAAAAGAAGATAAGTCCCCCAACACTTAAACCAAACATTGTCCTCAATGTTTTAAGCATAGACTCACAAACAAACAACCAATTAACACAACTAACAAACATGACAAACATGGCAAAGTAAAAGAAGTAAAGAGTAGGGTTTAGGAACGCAAATCTGGTTATGGAATGTTGGAGGCTCCTAGTTCTTCTTTATTTGCATGGTTTGCCTCCCAAGAAGCGCTTGCTTTAACGTCTTCCAGCTGGACGATCCTTCCTCTTAAGCTTCATTGGGGCCCACGGCATGGAAACTTGCACCATCCACGACATGCCCTTCAAAGTTCTCATAGTATGGCTTCAAACAATGTCCGTTCACTTTGAACTCTTGCCCGGTCTTTAAACTTTGAATTTGGACTACACCATAAGGAAATACATTAGTAACAACAAACAGGCCAATCCATTTAGAACGTAACTTACCTGGAAACAAGCGTAGGCGGGAATTGAAGAGTAGCACTTTCTGCCCTAGAACAAATGCCTTGCTATGAATCATCTTATCATGGAATGCCTTTGCCTTCTCCTTGTAAATAAAAGCGTTCTCGTACGCTTCATGCCTTATCTCCTCAAGCTCATTCAATTGAAGCTTCCTATGGATTCCAGTGGCATCAATGTCCATATTGAAGGTTTTGACGGCCCAATGTGCTTTGTGCTCCAATTCAACGGGAAGATGACATGGTTTCCCATAGATGAGCCGAAATGGGGACATTGCAATTGGTGTTTTGTAGGTCGTACGATATGCCCACAATGCATCATTCAAATGCAAGCTCCAATCTTTCCGGTTTGGCCCAACGGTCTTTTCCAAAATCTGCTTGATTTCCCGATTAGAAACCTCGGCTTGCCCACTTGTTTGAGGATGATAAGGTGTGGCCACCTTATATGTGACGTTATATTTCTTGAGCAATGCTTCAATGGTTTGATTGCAAAAATGGGAACCTCCATCACTTATAAGAACTCTTGGCATTCCAAATCTAGCAAATATGTTAGTTTTGACAAAATCTGCAACTACTTTGGAATCATTAGTACGGGTGGCTTTTGCTTCCACCCATTTCGACACATAATCAACCGCAAGTAAAATATATAGGAAACCATGAGATGAAGGAAAATGACCTATAAAATCAATGCCCCAAACATAAAAAATTTCGACACCATAGATAGGTGTCGGCGGCATTTGGTCTTTTGGACCTATATTTCCGGTTCTTTGACAACGATCACATGTTATGCAAAAAGTTCTAGCATCCTTAAAGATAGTAGGCCAATAAAAACCACATTCAAGTGCTTTACGTGCTGCAGTCATTTGAGTGCCAAAGTGACCTCCACATGCATAAGTGTGACAAAAAGTTAAAATTGAATTAAACTCTGATTCATACACACACCTACGAATGATTTGATCAGCGCAATATTTCCACAAATAAGGATCATCCCACACATAAAACCGAGCATTTTTTTTTAAGTTTATCACATTGGTGCTTATTTAGGTTACTTGGAACTTGTTTAGACACCAAATAATTCACTAAATCGGCATACCATGGCTCACTTACCTCGATGGATAGTAGCTGCTCATTTGGGAATGTCTCTGGGATAGGCACGGCATCTTCTTCATGCACCATACGGCTCAAGTGGTTAGCCACCACGTTTTCACTCCCTTTCTTGGCCCGGATTTTGATATCGAACTCTTCAAGTAGAAGCATCCATCGAATAAGCCTTGGTTTGGCCTCCTTCTTAGTGAGTAAATACTTCAATGCTACATGATCAGTGTAAATTATAACTTTAGTGCCAAGTAAATAAGAACGAAACTTATCTAAAGCAAAAACAACAGCAAGAAGTTCTTTTTCTGTTGTGGAGTAGTTCAATTGGGCATCATTCAAGGTCCGGGATACATAATAGATGACATGTGGCTGCTTGTTCTTCCTTTGGCCTAAAACAGCTCCTAATGCATAATCTGAGGCATCACACATAAGCTCAAAAGGAAAGCTCCAATCTGGGGGAACAATGATGAGGGCCGAAGTGAGCATCTCTTTGAGGTGTTTGAAGGCCTTTTCACATTCCTCATCAAACTTGAATGAGACATCTTTTTCGAGAAGTCGGCAAAGGGGGTTGGAAATTTTGGAAAAGTCCTTGATCAATCACCTATATAATCCTACATGTCCAAGAAAAGAACGAACCTCTCTAACCGAAGTAGGAGAGGGTAAGTAGCGTACAAGATCTATTTTTGATTTATCAACCTCAATACCCTTGGCCGAAATTATATGCCCTAGAACTATGCCTTGTTTTACTATGAAAGGACATTTTTCCCAATTTAAAACAAGGTTAGTTTCAATGCATCGTTCCAAGATTAAAGTGAGATTATGTAAACAATCATCAAACGAATCACCAAATACACTAAAATCATCCATAAACACTTCAATGATCTTCTCCACAAAATCTGAAAATATACTTATCATGCATCTTTGAAAGGTGGCAGGTGCATTGCATAAACCGAATGACATGCGACGATAAGCAAAAGTACCAAAGGGACACGTGAAAATGGTCTTTTCTTGGTCATCCAGAGTTATGACAATTTGATTATATCTTGAATAACCATCAAGAAAACAATAAAAAGAATGACCGGCTAACCTTTCAAGCATTTGATCAATGAACGGCAAAGGGAAGTGATCTTTCCTAGTGGTGGCGTTAAGCTTCCTATAATCAATGCAAACTCTCCAACCTGTTTGGATACATGTTGGCACAAGCTCATTCTTGGCATTCTTCATCACCGTCACTCTAGATTTCTTTGGCACAACTTGAACTGGTGAAACCCAACGGTTATCCGAGATAGGATAAATTACTCCACAGTCAAGTAATTTGATAATCTCCTTTTTCATAACTTCCATCATTGGGGGTTTGAGTCGACGTTGAGCCTTTCGAGTTGGTTTAGCCCCCTCCTATAGAAGTATGTGATGCATGCATGATGTAGAGCTAATTCCCTTAATGTCGGACAAGGTCCATCCTATGGCTGTTTTATGCTCTTTCAACACTCGAACCAATTTCTCCTCCTCCATTGCCGTGAGTGATGAAGAAACAATGACGGGCAACGTTTCTTTGTTTCCCAAATAGACATACTTCAAATGACTTGGCAATGGTTTAAGTTCAAGAATGGGTGCCTGAATCACTGAAGGTAACAACTTGTTAGTGGAAACGGGAATTGAAATTGGGGTTGGGGGCTTACTTTGATATTGTAGTGATGATTCAAGTGCAGCCACCATCTCACCAACTTCATCATCATACATAGCCAGATTGGGTTTTAAGGCTAATTCCTCGACAATTGTTGTTTCAAGTGGATCTTTGTCTAACGAATCAAGAAAGTCTTGCGCCAATGAATCAAATATATCAATAGAAAAACAAGAATGATCATCTTTAGGATATTTAATAGTTTCAGAAAGATTGAAATCAATAACTTCCCCATCAAATTCCATCGTTAAAGTCCCTTTGAACACATCAATCCTGGTGCGGGCTATTTTCATGAAAGGTCTCCCAAGTAGGATCAACAATGGTGTAGAATGGGGTGAAACTTCCATGTCAAGTACATAAAAGTCTGCTGGAAAGATCAAATTGTTAACCTGCACCAAAACATCTTCCAAAACTCCTTTTGGATAGGCATTAGAATGATCGGCCAATTGGATAATCACATCATCGTTTTTAAGCTCTCCTAAGTTCATAGATGCATAAACTGAGTAAGGCATAACATTAATTGAAGCTCCCAAGTCTAGGATAGCATGTTCAAACTTAGTATTGCCAATAACACAAGTCTAGGATAGCACGTTCATAATATGCTGGAAAAGACTCCCCATGGTTTTGTTGAATGCCACTAATTTTCTTCCTCAAAAGAATCACTCGTGAAGTTGGGAAGAATTTCTCTAAGAATGCTTGCTTCATGCTTTCGTAAGAAGTAATGGTTCCGGGTGCCAATTCGTATAGCCAATCTTTAGCCTTTTCCAAAAAAAGAGAATGGAAAGGCCTTCATCTTCAAAATGTTCCCATCCACGTTAATGGGTGTTATGCTTGAACATACCACTTCAAACTCCTTAAGATGCTTGTTTGGATCTTCCATGGATAGCCTATGGTATTTGGAAATGTGATGCAACAAGCTAGACTTCAATTCGAACTCATCGGTCTTGCCCTGGGCTGCCATAGGATATTGAATGCATAAAGGCACGGCATTGTCTAATCCCGAGGCCGAAAGTTCTTTGATTGTTTGATTGTCCGCCGCCATGTTTTCTTCTTCTTCAAATTTAGATTCGGACTCTGAACTTGAACTAGGTGGATTAGGTTCTGGTTGCTTTCTCTTTCTTCTCAAAGTTCGTTCAAAATTGTCGTCAAAATCCAATATGGTTGCACGAATAGGTTGAGAACTACGAGTCATAAACTAGTACTTGAAACAAAGAACAAAAACAAATCAGCAACCACTTTAAAGGGGCACGGTAACCATAAACAAAAGACACAAAGACACACAAAAGACACTTTGACACGATACGAACAAAAGGGATTAGCAAGTTTGCTAATCCGCGGCAACGGCACCAAAATTTGATGTGAAAATTAACTTGACACACAAATTAAACCCTATTTGTGACAATTGTAGTATATATGTAAGTACGGATCATTCTAGACCGGGGATTAACTAGGGATGCTAATCAACACAAATACGACTCAAAAACACTAAACTAGGCTCTATAGACTCAAAACTCACTTAAAACACTCAAAACAGCAACAAACAATAAAAAAAAACTCAATTTTAGACCTAACAAGTGATTTTGACGAAAATAAAACTTAACTTGACTCAAAAGACTAAAAGAAAACAGGTTTTGACTCAAATAACAAGGCTAAGTGAAAGGGGGATTGTTTTTGACAAAATTAATACTTAAAACAAAAACTTTGTATAAAACACTTTGTAAAAACGAGTTTGGGTGAATTAAATGGGTGAAAGGCTAGTTAGAGGGTCCTTCTCCACACATGATATATGCATACAAACCAATTTCCAGTTATTATTCCTTTAGACAATGAATGACAACGCCCCAAGTTAGTTGCATCGCACAACTAACCATCAGATTTTTCTTATTCCATTGAATTGAATGAAGACACATTACAACCAAATTATCTTTCTCAAGTTCTTTATATGAAACGCATAATAAAGATACATATCAAAAGTCATTAAGTTTTGTGAAAATCATAAGCATTGACAAGGCATTGATCACTATGAAACGCATGAGACTCATACCAAGAATTTACTTAACACAATTGTGACTAGCAACCTCCACTACTTGTGAATATAAGTGAATATCTATTACGTAAAACCCCCTTATACTCTAGCATCAAATTCATGCATGCAAATTAAGTGTCGACCTTCAACCAACACAATTCAACAAGCTTTAATAACTTAGATAAGCAAATCACATTCAAGGCTTAAGAAACAATAACTGGATGTAATCAATTCATATAAAACATATAATCATGGCTTTGAATTCACCTCTAACTAAAAAAAAATTAGTTCCGCATGTTCATCATAATTGAAAACCAAATTAATATAAACATCAAACTAAAACTAAGGATAGAAAGAACCAAGAAACGCTCCGCACTCCAATGGCATGCACGGCACTCCCTTGGATGGCAGATTGCACAAGTCCTCTTCTCCTTCCTTCCTTGCTTGTGGCACTAGGGTTATGTGATGTGATGTGAATTGTGGTGTTTGATGGCTGAAAGTTTGAATGAATGAATGAGTGAATGGATAGTTTGAATGGTGTGGCAAGAGCTTGAATTTATAGGCTAGGTTTTACACATTTCTGAAGGAAAAGGATTGCACAATCCAATGGGAAAAGGGTTAAGGCTTGGCAGAACTCAAAGGGGAATGGGATAGGGGATACACGGCAAGGTTTTTGGGGTTTCTAGAAGGATAGGTGCGGCACATTTGTAGGAGGAAGATAAGGCTTCTAGAAAGGATGTTTTAGGGCAGATTTTAGGACCTAAATGGACAAGGACTCACGGCATAGTTATAGAAGAGGGATTACAACTCCTAACCCTCCAAGGAATGGCCTACATGCGGCACACAAAGGGATTAGGCTTTTAGAATCTGAATTATGTGTTTAAATGTATAACTAATCCCTTCTAAATAGTTAGAATTAAGGCACAACCTGATTTGGATAGGATAAGATAGGATAATGCTAGATTTAGGAAAGGATAAGGTTGGTTAGGATAGGATAAGACAAGGTTGGATAATGTTCCTTATTTCTTGCTCTTTCTTTATCTTCTTTGTATTTGAACTTCTTTCTCTAGATTTGTAGCATTTCCTAGCCTCTCTTGACTTCAATTTCATCCATCCACTTTGCTCCATAGTTAAGTAATCCAATCCATGCCCAAAACTACTCCAAATGCTCCAAAATGCACTTTCTTGCTCCTTTTGACATTAGGACCTAAAAACATACGAAAATAGCTTAAAAGACTATAATAAGTAGTAATTAACTAACTAAATGCAAGGAAACAACATAGCTAAGTAGCATAAATATGCTCCTATCAAAAAGCATGATAGAGATACATCTCACAGATCATCAAGTTTGTTGAAAATCATAAGCATTGACAAAGCATTCGTAACTGTGAAAAGCATGATACTCCTGCCAAGAATTTACTTAACTCAATCATGACTAGTGACTTTTACTACTTGCAAATATAAGTTCATAACGATTAGGTGAAATTCCCTTATATTTTAACATCAAATCCTTGCATGCAAACTAAGTGTGCACCCTTAATAAACATACAGGAATAAGTTCTCTATAAAGCAGATAAGTAAATCGCATTCATGTAATCAATAACTGGATGTAATCAATTTATATAAAACATAGGATCATGGCTTCAAAGTCACCACTAGCTAAAAAGAAACTTAGTTACACATGTTCATCATAACTAAAAAAAAAAAAACAATCTAAAATAAACATTGAAACTTAAAATAAAAATAGAAAGAACTCTAAAAATTCCAGCAACTTCAATGCATGAATGGTGGGCATGGCACACCCTAGAATGTGCAGGAATTTCATATATATAGGGAGGGGAACGACTGAATCCGAGGAGGAAAAGGGTTTTGGCATTTTGAATTATTTTAGGACTCTAAGAATCAGGTAGAGAGTGTTGGAATTGGATTAGGATTCCTCCTTGCAGCTGGAGATAAGATATGATAAGGTTGGATAAGATAAGATAGGATAGGATAAATAGGATAAGATAATGTTCCTCTCCAACTAGGATTCCTCTTTCTTGTGTAATTCCTTGTCTTCCAAGCCTCAACTTTAATTTCTCCAGAGTTTAGCCCATGTCTAACACCATTTAAACACCGAAAATGTCCAACCCATATGCTATCCACGCATGTTATCCAATTCAAGTCCAAAACTGCTCCATATTGCTCCATTTAGCTATTTATTGTCATCTTTTCCAACTAGACCTACAATAATACGAAAATATCTTAAATTACCAAAATAAATGAAAATTAACTACGTAAATGCAAAGAAATAAGATAACAAAGTCACATAAATATGCTCCTATCAAATTCCCCCACACTTAACTTTTGCTAGTCCCCGAGCAAAACAAAACCTAAACCTTCCAACAATTGCCTCAGGGATTTCCAATATGACATGTTAAAAATCATTACTTACATAGATTTTAGCAATCCTTACTCTTCAGCTTATACTTAACTGCGGTAAACACCCACTAGCTCGCATTTAATCAATTACAAAAACATTTGAAAGTAGTAACATGCCTTCGAGAATTCACTCAATTCCTCACCGGATATACTCTATTTTCACACAGATTTTTTGACTACACTCCCTATACTAAGTATATGTGGGAAGATTGATGT